TATATATATTATATTTGCGGTAAGATTACCAAACTTCTATTTCAAATGGGGGTGAAATGTGTTACCAAACATATAGAAAAAAGAATTTATATGGAAAATAAAGCGTCCGCTTTTATTGTTCCATTCATTATGATGATAAAAATAGTGAGTAATTATAGTGATAAAAATATTTGGAATGTTACAATAAACACATGTATGGGACCTGCTGTATGCGAATCCAGCAACAACAACTAGTTTTGGAAGAAAAATAGTTTTTTTTAAATGTACGAGTTTCCGCTCCAGCTCAGTGGAAGATATAGGCCCACAGTAAAGTTCACTCATTTAAAATTATCTTAAATGTTAGCTTCGCTGAACGAAAATCAGCTCACCTGAATTAGGCTGGCACTCCACAATATAAAGTAGCGAGCTCTACTTACAAATGAAACCCTTGGTTGAGAAAAAGTAAGACAAGCCGCCGACATTCGGTCACAACTCAGCCTTAGTTCTTCAAAAAAAAACTCAGCCTAAGTTTTTTGTGCGAAATAGCGCACATATGAGGAGACACAGACAAAGATCTGCTGAGTTTTTTTCTAAAGTGCCCGAGAGCAACTTAGAAAAGTCTGAGTTGGTGCAAAATGGTGTCCGATGGGTAACCGAATGGAATCACGGCTAGAGCGCGGATTCTTAACCCTAGCGCGTGGGAGCGGCACGAAATGATGTGGAAATGCGAAAGAAAAGGGAAGTAATGTTGAGTATATTTTCTGAAACCATTTCTCGTTGTGGGAAGCTAAGAGTTAATTTCAGCGTATTGTTTGAAGAAGATCCGCGAAATATTGGAGTTGTTATCCACTGTTGATCTACTGCTCAGCTGCCACCCGCCGTTTTGATCCAGAAAAAGTCGTGTTTCTTCGTTGCAAATCACGGATTTTTTTCAAGGAAATTATTTTAGGAAATTGGAGCTGGCTTTTATTTTTCTAGCCTATACAGTTAGGGAACTGCTGGGATAATTTTCGAAAACTAGGGGGGAGGGGGGGGGGATGCCAAAATTCTACTGGCAATTTTTTCGTCGTATCTCGGCTGAGTAAAGTTTACTAGTGGCCATAGTCTAATAGCAGAATAAGTTCGCACCTGATATTATTTGCAGCTTCTTCAGTGTGCTCACCTTCCTCTGGAAACTGAATAAAAGCATCTGACCGCTTCACGGGTTTTTCTATTCGACATTTGGCAAAGTTCTCTACATACGTACTTTGTTCAGCTATCTTAACTAATCCTTTGGTTTTTCTTAAACGATATATGTTATTTTCTCGTAAAGCAACAAATCATGTTCTGAATGCACATTTTTACAAACGTCTGCAAAGAAATGATGGAATTCAGATCCATCTAAAAATAAAAAAAGTAATAAACAGTAATAAACCTATAACCATAACTCCTATTTAAACTTCTAGCGATGGTCAAATGAATATGCAGCAAAAACGAGGAAATTTACCAACTTAGTTCAATCTTGTGATAATTCTTGTGGTATTTCTTTATTTATTACTTTCTTTCGGTATTTACTTCTACCTGTTATCTGCTCACTATGGCTTATATTATGTGTCTACTGTAGCACGTCTTATGGCGTATTCAAAATAAAATAAAATAAAAATAATCTAACTTTTAGCATATTTTAGCTAAGGCATTACTGCACTAAAAATAGGAATTTGTGGATCTCTTTTTTCTTCTCATCGCCTTGTTAATTTTTCTGGAAATTCAGGAAGCGGAAAAATTTGTTCCAATTTTAGTTATATGAACTGGTTTAGCTCTTCTTCGCAGCTGGGTGAGGATTCGAAGGTGTCCGACTACCTCTAGTGGAATAGCTTAGGCGAAAACCTGGTTAATCTTTCTCTATGTGGAGGGGAAGCTTTTGTGCTATGTGGAGAAGTTTCCAAGGCGCGGCACTAGCGTTATGGCCCATTTCCTCCCTACTACATCATTTTCTGCACAGATCACAGAAAAAAATCCAGCGATGCTCGAAACTTACAGAGGTCAGTGACCGATTTTTCGGCACTGTGCCTTTCTCACTGCGCTATGGTTTGTGTTTGAGTTGTGAAACTCTCGGCAGACGTCCGTCGAGCGGTCTGCTACGAGAAAACGCTGACAAATATGACGACGGGATGACTATCGAGAATTATCGCAAGGGATATAAAGGGGCTGTGAACGCGATTCTAAGCACTACTCTTGTCTTTCAAAGCTTAACAGTCTTGAACTATAATAGTTAGCTCTTCAAGGTTATTGATTCAAAAATTGTTGTCTTGCTGTTTCCTTCACCTCTTGGTAGCTTTCCCAAAGTTTTCCAAGTAACAACTTCGTAGATCCCTACCGAAGAACAAGAGAAAAACTGGTTTTTTATCTAAAACATTGAGTAAAGATCAGTTTCGTTGATTTTTTCATAACGTCGTAGCTAATGAGCCAAAGTTGCTTAGCAACAAAGCAATCTAGCGTTTTGCGGGATTCATTTGGGACATTTTTTCGCTTCGTCGCATGGTCGGACGTTTGGGACGAGTTTGTCGAACATGTTGTGCTGGCATGTAAACTCGTCCATATTTTGGCACTCCTTTGTTTGTAGTTCTACTGGTGTTTTCGAGGATACTATAGCAAATTGACCACTTAGGTTCTCTTATAATTGAAAGGTAATGCAAAGTGGTGTCGGACGAGTTTCCATGCAAGGTATAGACACATCAAGTACGTGTGTGACTTCATATTTCTACAGAGAACTGCAACAATTTCTGGAATTTTCTAGATAACTAGATAATTTAAGGTTCAGTACTACCTAGTGTCGTAACTTCACCAAACCATCCACACCTAAGCGCCTTAGCTCCCAAAGACCACTCTAATCTCCTCTTATCAGCATTTTTCAGAATTTTCTGGGATTCTTATCAGCTGCCCGGCCAAGCATCG